AAAAAAAAAAATCCCAGGGTAGACATGAGGAAGTAGGCAAGGCGCTCCAACCCCACCTAAGGAAATTGTGGCAACAGATGGCTGCTGGGAGGGGAAGAGACAGTCTCTTTTAAGCATGGGATTCTTGGTAAGTTAACCAGGCTCAGTGGATAGACTCATCATGGAGGACATTTGGAGACACAAATTAGGCTTTATAGGATATATATATAAATTGTGGGGAGGCATTAAAGGAGGTGGGGATAAGGGAGGGGACCTGAATACAATCTAATTATATTGTGAAACTTGCAAAAATTCAATTAAAAAAAGGGAAAAAAAATAGGCTCTCTGCTGAAGAGTCAAAACACTGAATTATTTTTATTAAATTTGTAGGGAATAGCTCAATATTACCAATCAGTGCTCCCAATTTGAGTGCGATTTTTACTTACTTTTTCTTTTTAGGATGATATTTAATACCGTGATACAATTCAGAATAGGTGACTAATACTTTTTTTTCTAAAAGAGCTAAGAGGAAGAAGAGAGAAATTTTAGCTGTTGGCCACAGGGAGGCTCTGTAGCAGTGATGACAGGGCCATTTTGCTTTCCAGGAGCTGTCTGATTGTTTGGAGATAGTTTTGTTTCTGGTTTTTTTTTGAGGGGGGTCACAATTTAGATAGGGCTACTGTAAACTATATGGTATAGGCTAAGGATGCGTTGAGCTATCATATAAAATACAGGACAGTTCAGCCCTTCTTCATCATAGCAAATTTGTCATTTGGGAGTTTGCCTCTATCTAGCTCAAAGTGCTTTATCTGTAGCACTGTTGACATTTGAACTAGAGATGTTTAGGAAGGTTGAGGTTGGAATTACAGTTGTCAGTGAGCCCTCCCCACTGGAATTGCTAGAATTCAGCAAACTGATATTGCTATATGTGATTAAATATGGTTGTAGTGCTAGTACCAACCATTTGGGATAACAACCATAATAATTCTCACATAACGAGCACTTTCTGAGTGGCCACTCTGCTCTCCATACATCATAGAGGTTAATTTTCTCTATAATCCTTGTGGTAGATTTTAATGTCCTCATTTTAACGATCACTGAGGTAAGCTTTAAACAGCTTAAGTGACCAAGTCACCAGACTAATGAGTGCTAGAGTCAGCATTTGACCTTACATCTGTATGCCTTTAAAGCATGGACTTTTGCCATTAGGCACTCTGGTTTTGCATAGCCCAAGTACTTATGTATGAAATGGAAGGGAAAAAAAGAGAATCTCCTCGAAAATGAAGTTCAATTATTCAGATAATTGCCACAATTTCTTCTTTTGTTTTGTACACATGACATGAACTATGAAATTATATTAGCTTTTAAAAATCTTCCATACATTAGCAAAAATGACTGTTCTTTGGTGTGTGGTTCAAATCTCAATATATTTATTGTCTTGAACATGAATTTATCAGTTTATCAGTAGTTGAGGAACAAGCACTCTTTCCGACCTGCAATCTTGCTTTGCTTACAGACTGCAGCACTGCTAGAGCTGAGGGCTTTATGACTTCTTAGTTATTCTGTTCTGCATTGAGCAACAGGGCAAGAGGGGAAAGCTGATTTAAAACTTTTATTAAGAATTAAGTGAGTGATTTTCTCTATTGGGCTTTATACAGAGCCCTAGGAAGCAGACCACTAGAGGCTGTCAGCTTTCCCTTGTGTTTGTGAGTCTTGGCGGGGAGAACCAGTGGAGACATAGGAAGTAGATATTTCAAAATCAGACATCCCAGGCCTTGCTTCATCTTTGCTCTTTTTGTACTATCTGTCTGCATTTGCACATGAGGCAACCTGGGACAAGTATTTAACCCTCCCTAGTCTAAATCCTGTGAAATGTGCGTAAGAATCATAACTACATTTTAGAACTGTGTCTATAGGCTGGAGCCTAAAGTTGGGAAGATAGGTATTGGGAGTCACAAACAACTACATTAAAATCACAAGCCTGTTGCTACTAGCTGTTTCACTTTGTGCCAGTTATTTAACTTTTCTGGACTTCTATTTCCTCATGCAAAAAATTGAGATAATAATACTAACTTCATAGTATTGTGATGATAAAAATAATGCATGAAAAATGCATGAAAACCTCAACAAATGTACCTTGCTCACAGTGCACGATCAGCACATGCTCATTATTTTATTAACATCATAAAACTTTAATGTGGTTATACAACAGGGTAAGCTTTGAAATGAATATAACTAGGTTTGAGCCATGTATAAAAATTGTGTGTCCCTTGGGAAGTCTCTTAAGTTGGCTGAACTTCAGATAATAGTTGATAATACCACCTATAAATAGAGTTTTTTGAAGACTAAATTTTTTCAAGTAGGTAAAACATCCAGCAAAACAGTTTAAAGTTATTATTATTGTTAATATTATGCTATTTGGGGGAGTATCTTTTAAAAATATTTTTATTGATTCCTTGAGAATTCCGTACAGTGTATTTTGATCATATTCAGTCCCCCCTCTGACTTTATTATGCCATTTTTAAAAATTATTCATTCAACAACCACATAATCAGAAGAAGCATCTCATTACAACAGCATTGGCATATTCAATAACAATTTCCAGATATTCTGTATCAAATACACACAAAAATAAATCAATAAATAAAACAGTTATATTTGAGGAAGAAGCATAAAAATTTGTTTCATGTTAATTAGTAGATGTGAAAAACATTACCATTTATATCTAGCTGATGATTTTATTATGCCATTTTTTACAGAATAGGAGTGCTGCTCCACTAGGACAGAACATTTGTAACTCAGGATGATCTCATAAAGTGTACACATACAGAAGTTATTGAGGTCCTTGGAATCAAGAGGGCAAACGGACCTTGAGGAAAGAGTAGAGGAGCGTGTGCAGAGAGAGAGAGAAAAGTGGAGAAATGGCAGGGAAGTACAAGGAAGGCCTGCCACCTACCCCAGAGTAGACGCATGCAGAGGAAATAGCAGCTTTTACTTACTCACATCTTCAACCTCAAGAATGTGATTGCTAGGAAGTGGGCAGGCCAAACCACAGAGCTACCAGGAGGTTCATCTTCCACAGATATACCGACGGTAGGGGCCAGACCAAGGGCTCATTAATAGCTGAAATGCACAGATCATCTTTCAGTTTTACACAGAGAGATAACTTGGGTCTGGTTTCTTCATTGTGGTCTGTCTGGATCTGTAGGAAAATAAAGAAACTCCTGCATTTTAGTGAATATTTTCAACTGACTGTCAGCAAAATTGTGGAGTAAATTTCTCTTTAACCTTCATCCTCTAAGACCGCCCCCCAAATCACTTATTCCTCTTTTTCCTCTCCTCTCACAGCATTCTCCAATCAAAATTCTTTTTCCTTGTTTACCCTCAGAGAGACTCATTATTAGTTTAATTATTATCCTTTTTCTCGAATCAAAAACCTTCTTATGCTGAAGGGATAATCTTTTAATGGCAGGAATTCAGCTTAGCTTAATATGTCAGAAAATATATTGATGGGCCTTTTGCTACTGAAACCATAACATGGATATGAACCCTGTTTTCAAATACTAACTTTTAGTGATTTCCTAAAATTGTGTACTTTAAAATGAGTGGTTCATTTCTTATTTTGGGAAATCAGTAGGAAATGGTTTGGTAACGCTATTCCATTTTTCTCTTTTTAATTATATTTGCAGATTTTTTTTCACTTTTTACTGTACTGTGTCCCCATGGTTTTCCTTTCTTTTGTTGCAATTTATACAAGTAAATTATAATGGATCACTTTACCAGCTTGTTTTGTGACTGGAATTATAAACAAAGTCCCCTGTAAGCTTACAGAACATCAGTAGATGGCAGCACACACTCTCCAGTGAAGGGTAATGGTGGGGAGACGCCATTTTAATTGAATAGCAGTTAAATTCTGAAGCACAGTCTTGTCAAAATGGTTGTCTCCTGGTAATCCTCATGAAAGGATTCATTTCCAGGAGCTTTTTAAAAAACCCACATACCATGGAAGTAATGGTTGAATAATTTACAACCATAAAGTCTCATTAACTGAACCCTGCCAATTGGAATTGGTCATAATTCAGAAAGTGGTTTGGGCTAAAACTTCTTAGCTTTTGATCAGTCCATGGAAAAGAGTTTGCTCAGCAACTTCATAGTAAGACTTTCTTAGAAAACTATAAATTGTTTAATAAAACTATGGTTTCAAGTGACTCTAAAATCATCATTTCTTTAAAACAATAAAAGTAAAAGGTTCAAACACCCATTAATAACTGACTTGTAGAAGGATTGATTTTGGTGATGTGGAAATCTGTTAGGCAGCTTGTAAAATAGAATAGTAACTTAGAAATCACTAAGTTGGTGGCATTCTATAGGTATAATTCAAATTAAATATATTCTTTAATATGTTTGGATGGTTTTATAAAAAAAAAAAAGGAAATGCCTAATTTCACTTTAGTTTAATTCCCCAAGCATTTACTGAGTACTTGATGTATTCCATAAACAGTGCTGTGTGGGGAGTCACTAAGAACACATAGGTGAATAAATCCAGGCTCCCGCCATTAAGACTGTCTACAAAGAGATGCAAAAAAAAAAAAAAAAAATGACACATTAAAGACATCAAAAGAGAGTTAGTGCTAGAGAAAGAAAATGAAAGTTATTAACTTTATTCAAAGGGATCAGGGGAGGCTTCCTAGAAGTGACATCGAAACTAAGTTTTGAATATAAATAGGAGTGTGCCATGGAAAACATAGGAAGGACACTACAGGTAGAAAATAACATGTAAAAACTTGAAGACATGTACCTACGAACTCTAAATTATTCTCTGTTACTTGAATAAAGAAAAAGGGTTAGCAGCTGGAGACTGTTCCTCCAGAGGACCAGAGTTCAGTTCCCAGTACCCACATTAGGCAATTCACAACTCTCTGTAAGTCCAATTTCAGGGAAGTTGATACACCCTTCTGGCCTTTTTGGATAACTGCACTCATGTGCGCATATCCCCACACAGACACACATGCATGTATGTAATTAAAAATAATATAAAAAGCAGTACTGGAGATTTTTTCTGCATTTGTAGTAGAAGCAAATTAACTGTTAAGATTAATCAGGAGCTGATCAAGAACTGCAGTTAGTTTGCTATAGTCAGAGCATAAGGGTCTAGTGGTAAAAGATCCAATGGGGAAAGAAACAGGAGGCAGATCATGAGAATCCTTGCATTCTTCGCCAATTACTTTGGGCCTTATCCTGCATATGCCAGGTGTTTTTGGAATCAATACAGACAATCATATGATCTGACCAGGTTTGTACTTAGAGCATCCAGAGAGAGGTGTGGAGCATGGATGGACATGATGTAGCCAGGAAAAAGTAAGTCCAGTTAAGAGGTTGTAAGAGCAACAGATGAAGAGAGTCCAACAGAAGCAGCAGAATTTAGAGGCAGATGTCTAAAGAGCAAAATATCAGCAGACTAAGGATATGGACCAGTTGGTAGAATGCTTATCTGGTATTCGTAAAGCTCTAGGTTCTGTCACCAGCACTACATAAATCAGGTGTGGTGGTGCACACCTGTCATTCCAAAACTCAGGAGGTGGAGATAAGAGCCTCAGAAGCCAAGGTTATCCTCGGTCAGTCTGAAATACATGAGGTCCTGACTCAATTGCAGTCCCCTCAACCCCCCCCCCCAAATTACGGCAATAAATCCCCAACCCACAATGAAAAATTCATAAGTGAAACATTTAGCTGATTATTTTTCTGAACATATACAGTAATTATCCAGTAGGCCAAAGTGGTCTAGATTAGCATCAAGTATTGTCTGTGGTATACTGTATAACTGTTTGGATATGGATCCTCTTGTTCTTACTCGCGTACTTGTTCAGTGGCAACCATTGTACTGGCATCAAAATTAAAGAGATGAAAAGACAAATTTCCTGACCTCAGGTGAAAGTGTGTCAGTCTCATTAGATGGATCATAGAAAACCTTGGCAGGGAGGATGCTTCAAGATGACAATTAGGTGATAATTAGGAGTTCATAATTTCAATAGGAAGGGGAATTCACAAAGCTATGCACTAGATAATGTGAGGAATATTAAGATCTAAAGTACGAGGGATAGAGAAGGGGGAAGAACAATCTCAATTTAGACTGGATCTGTAAGATCCAGCTGGGACTGGACAGTGAAGGGCCTTCTGAGCTAAACTAAGGAATCTGGCCTTTGCTATGTAGTAAGGATGAATTTTTCAGTGATTATTTAAGGATGAGTAAGAGTAACTGGAAATACAATGTAGACTTCCTCTTAATTGCATTACTGTGAATCTGGAGTTTTATCCTATCTATTATAGCCTATCAGATGCCTCTCAGGAACCTCTCTGTAATCTTATTCAGGTTTCTTAAGAATATTCGAAAGACAATAGCTTCAAAACCCACCAACCCTGTATTTAACTATTATAAAGACACTAAAGTGTGACACTCTCTTAGCAAAACCATGCCCCTGCTCGCTATGGTGTCTTTATTTCTCAGCGTGTCTCTTTTTAATCTTTTAACATTTATGCTTAAGCCTGCATTAAAATATCCATATTTCACCACAACTCTGCTTACAAACAAACAAAAAGGAGCAACTGATAACATGAACAGTGTTTCTTTGTGAACTATTTATTATTATCATCTTTTCCATGTATGCATATGCTGTTTTTGTATGTGTTTGCATGTTCACATGTACATGGACACATGTGTCTATAGGTGCACATTTGTGCTTGTACATATGGAGGTCTCACATTGATGTTGGGAGCTTTTTATTGAGGCATCGTCTCTCATTTGAACCCAGAGCTCATTGATACAGCTAGTTTGGTTAGCCAGGTTGTGCCAGGATCCCTGTCTCTGCCTTCCAAGCACTGGAATTACAGGTGGGTCAAGAGGCCCATGTAGTATTTTATGTGTGTTCTCAGGATCTCACTCTGGTCCTCACACTTGCAAGCTCTTTAACCACTGAGCCATCTCCATATGCATCATGGTGATGTATCATGGTGATGTTTGCACAAATCTGAAATTCACTTTTTAAAATGAAAACATGCAGAGGCTAGGATAATATCTCAGTCTATAAAGTGCTTGTTGCTGAAGCATGGGGACCTGAGTTCAGACCCCCCAGCACATGGAAAAATCTGGGTGTGGTAGCATATGCCTGTAATCCTCCTGCTGGGGAAGCAGAAACACGAGACTCCTTGGAACTCTCTGAACTGCTAGTCTTGCCAAATCTATGTGCTGTACTTTAATGAGAAAGCCTGTATCAGTAAATAAGGTGGAAAGTCATAGAAGATACCCAGGGTCGACCTCATGCCACACACGTACACGCATGTGCTTATACTCACACACACATGAGCAAACACACACACACATACATATATATATATATAAACACACACATAAACACACATAAAAATCAAACTTTGAACTCTATACCTCAAATAGGTAAACTTTATGGTATGTAAATCATGTCCAATGTTTGAAGCACTAGTATAATCCTAAGTTAAGGGGTGTATACTTTTGAAAAATACAAGACTAATTAATTTTATAATCAAATTTGTTTATTAGAACCATCTCTATCTACCATCTCATCTTAGCACAGAACCATGTAAACAGTAATTACTAATAGATATTTGCCTTATGGAACTGAATGTAGTGTAATGCTTATCTTTACTCCAATTGAGAGGAAATGATTTTATTAGTGTGCAAGTTTTTAGATGTTTTAATCTCCTAATATATAATATCTAATGAGAACTGTTTATAAATGCTGGTTTGTGTTCAGTCCATTTTTTTGTTTCCCAAATATCAATTATTAATGAGCAGCATGGATCATTATTACCACTTTAATGAATAT